CAAAAGTTCCAGCGAACGAGAACACAATATGAACACAGAGGAATTTTTCAGAATGCTAGCAGTGTGTTTTTAGAGCTAAAACGTGTATGGAGTGTAAGAATGCGTGTAAGAACGTGTGTTGTTGCAAACCACCTGCCAGCCATTATATAGGAGGATTTGTTGTGTGTAAATGGTGAATTAATGGACCTGAACGTTGGACATCAATGACCAGTCCGTTGGGCATTGAATCGTCCATGAACTGTCCATGTAACGCTGCATTAAAAGATAAGAACGTTGGGCATTAATCGTTGTAACGTTTCAGAAGCGCGACAAAAGACCTCCAGGAGGGGTTCTGATCGGAGGCCAATCAGAAGACCTCCAGGAGGGTTTCTGATCTGCGACCATCAGACGACCCCGAGGGGTTCTGGTACGCGGCCACCAGAATACCCCCATCTCTGCCCCGCGGCCATCAGAATACCCCATCTCTGATCGAAGCATTGCCTTCTGTTCCGGAGCACTTCTGTTAACTGGGAAAAAATATACGTTTCGGGAAGAAAACAAAAATAACCCGTATCTCTTGAGAGATGGATTTTTGGACGACATTCGTGTTCGCAGGTCGCCCGCGCGCGCAAGTCGCAGTTTTTCTTCTCCGAATTCGGGATTTGATTTGCACCCCCCTTGCGCGCGTGGAGAGAGCCTTTACCCCTATGAATCTTAACTCCATAAGGGGGAGTCCCTTTATAAAGGGTTGCAAATCTCTTGGGTTTTCCGGTGTGGGAAATTAACACTAGAAACCCATCCTTTTTCCCAGTTTTTCCATTCTAACGGGTAATCTTCGAAAAGCGATTTCTCATTCACCCGTTATCCGTTTTGAGCGTACCATATATCGAATTGTAGCTCTTAACAAGGAAAATCCGAAACCACTTTGAACCGACCCAAATCGGAAGTGGACCCCACTCAAAAAATTGCCCCAAAATAGCCATTTAATGCAATTTTTCACACATTTTTCCAACATTCTGTTCCTCTTATTCTTATTACTTATTGCTTATTCTTATTTTATTCAGATCAAATTAGATCGGAAAAATTCAGATCAGATCAGAAAGATTCAGATCAGATCAGATCAGAAAATTTCAAACATGATTTCTCACTTTTATTATTATAAAATAATAATAATAATAATAATAATAAGAATAATTATTATGATTATTATTATTATTATTATGATTATTATTATGATTATTATTATTATTATTATTATGATTATTATTATGATTATTATTATTATTATTATTATTATTATTATTATTATTATTATTATTATTGTTGTTGTTGTTGTTGTTGTTGTTGTTGTTGTTGTTGTTGTTGTTGTTGTTGTTATTATTTTTATTATTATTATTACTCCATATTATTATAATTATTATTGTTATTATTATTATTTATTTATTTTTATAATTATACAGAGTAATTATAATTATAATTACTATTATAATTATAGAAATAATTATGATTAAAAATATAATAAAAATTATAATTATGACTATAATTATAAATTATATTTAAATTTTATTTATAATTACGATTATAATTATAATAATTATAATTATATTTAAAGAAATATTCAGATCAGATCAGAAAGATTCAGATCAGATCAGAAGGATTCAGATTAGACCAGATCAAAAAGATTTAGATCAGATCAGATCAGAAAGGTTCAGATCAGATCAGAAAGATTCAGATCAGATCAGATTAGATCAGAAAAATTCAGATCAGATCAGATTAGGCATGGACCCGGTTCGGGCCGCCCGGCCCGGGACCGGCCCGGCCCGCCACTGTGCAAGCCCGGAACCGGCCCGGTTCTCGGGTCCGGGTCCGGGTCCGGGTCGGGCCTAGGCCCGGTGGGGTGGCCGGGTCCGGGCTCGGGCCTTGAATTTGGCGAACCGGCCCGGGCCCGGGCCGAATTGATTTTTTTTTATTTTTTTTTTCTTTTTTTGGGGTTAGCCAAGTTGGGCTTGATGGTTAGGAGGGGTTTGGGGGTTTGGGGGGGTGTGGGGGTGAGTGGGGGGGTTAGGAAAGCAAAAAAAAAAAAAAAATTATAACCGAACCGGAGGCCCGGCCCGGAACCGGAACCGGCCCGGCCCGGATCCATGACTAGATCAGATCAGAACTTATAAATTCAGATCAGAAACATTCAGATCAGACGAAGAGAACAACTTCTTAAAATAGGAAATTTTAAGCATATACTCCGTATTACTTTCTATATATATTCTTTTTCTAATCCTTTCCTTTTCTTTTTCCCTCCCTCTCCCCACCTCACCACCCAGCTACAGGACTCTAATCTTCTACTCCGTATGTGCATCCAGCCAATCAGCCATCCAGCTGGTGGTAGCCATTGGTCTCCGTCAATGGGGTAAGCCGCCACTTTTACTAAAGACTTTTTCTTTTGTACCGAATTTGTTTTACTACGTAGTACTCCGTATTTTACTGTACAATTGCTTTTTATTTATCTCGTACTCCATACTTTGTACATGCTTGCACTTCAAGGGAGTGTTGCACTGCTTAAAAAAAACATTTTTGGAGATGTAAGGAAAAAATGATTAGTAGTAAACGTTGATAGTGTTTAAGAAAAAAGTGATTTTGAAAAGTAAAAGTTGGCAGTGTTTGGTAAAATAAGTGCTTTTTGTGTAATAGAAAAGAGAAAAACACTTATCACACGCAAGCCAAGAAAAAGTAAAAATTGGTAGTGTTTGGTAAATAAGTACTTTTTTAAACCAAAAGCTGAGAAGTGCTTTTTTTAAATTGTTTCAAACACTCCCATAATCTTATAGAGCCGTGTATACATGTGTATTAATTAGTTTTTCCATTGTTTTAGCTGATTGTTAGTTGTTACCGACCGTATACATACTCTATATAGGAAAAATAGATAATAATTTTCATAATAATTCCGAATATCGATTATTTTAGAATAATCCTTTAGAGATCTTGCGTCAATAATGATCTCACATGACAGTCTACTTGTTCAGTCAATTGAAAAGATTTACTATCAATTGTGACTTTTATTAGACCCAAAAAGTTAAATAAAACTTTCCATAATTAAACAAAAATGGTAAAAAAGATTATAAGTATTTATTTATACTTTATTAACTTTTTTTACGTAATTTAATTTATGGAATTAAAGAATATAAACTATATAAATATAGAATATGGAAAACATACATAAATTTCAAAAATAAAATGTTATAATATGTAAGATAGTATTAATACATAATGAATATAAAATATATAAATAAAGAGAGTAAAAAAGTAAATATAAAGACCTGAAAGGAAAAATGAAATTGAAAATTATCAAGTACAAATTCAAAAAATGAAAACCTTGATTTTTAGAAGCTAATCATCCTAATTACATAATTTCATTTCTCTTTATTTTACACAAATCCTAACTTTTTAAAATGAAATTGAAAATTAAGTACAAATTCAAATTCAAAAATATTAAATCATTTTAAAATTAGTTTAAATTAAATAAAAATCATGAATTTGTAAAAGAAGTTCCAGAACGGACCAACGGGACCGGGTCTTTTGCCCACCCATAGACGAAAATAAGTTAAAATTATATTTAAAAAAACTGAAAATTAATAAATTAGTAAATGTGTAGGCCTACACGTAAAATCTGTGAGATAAAAAATGAGTCTCACATGTATGAGTATGTAAGACACCATCCATACCCTCCCATTCGAGACGTCTTAGCATCATAAGTATTGTTAAATAATGATCTGTTCATATAGTAATAGTAATACCTACAGGCTTAGCCCATTTAGTCGTGCAATGTGTAGGCTAGCCTAAATATTGTGTGTGTCTATTCTCTTGTTCACCACACTCAGTTTTGCGTTTGTTTTCCCATGTGACAATCACTTTCTTACTTTGTCTTAGAATTTATTCACCAACTAGTTCCTTGTATACTTCATGACATCTACTCGTCTATAGATATAATTCTCTCAATGACTCCGTCCCAATATTATCTTTAGCTTTTCCTTTTCTGACTGTCTCAATATAAATTTATATTTTCTCTTTTGGTAAAGAATTTCCGGTTCAAGACATGTGTCCCCCCTTTTCACCCATTTTAGAATTTCCGGTGTACAAAGTCATAACAAGATAAAATATTGTGACGGAGGGAGTAACTCATATTTTTTTGTTTAGTGTAGATCTTTAAATGGATTGCTGTGTATTTAATATATGCTCAAAATTAGGTAACAATTTGGTGATAATAATGAGTGGCCACACAAGTGCTAGGTTACATTGACGTCTGATTTCTGATATATGTCCATTAGATCTACCCTTCCCATGTTCTTCTGTCCCATTCCGCCTTTAGAGTCCAGCAATCCAACAACACTAACACATTGAAGGATAATCCATCATCAACCACTAACTTTGAATGAGTTACTTTTCAAGGATTTTGTCACTGTGTTTTGGTGCATTTCTATTCAGTGTTGGAATGTTTTCAATTGTGGTATATTTGTGAAAAGAACCTACTTTTGAATACACCTTAGGTTTAACCGTTTAACTCAGAAAAGTAGAAGTAGACAATATTTGTGAATACACCTTAGTTTTGAATACACTTTTGAATACACCTTAGATTCATCCGATTTTAGAAAATATTCTAACGAATATGTTTAAAGGTTGAGTTTTCTTTGTAAGTAAACATAGCATATTGACATATGTTAACATTCATCCAAACATACTATTATGGCAATCACATGATTTTTACCAACTTTAATTGAATTTTCAATGCAGGGCATCTCAGATTCTCAGGTTTCTGAATCTGCCCCTGGACAGGACAATGTTACAGTAATATGCTGGGAGGACAATTAATATATATAAAGACACCAACACTTTTATTAATTGGGAGGACAATCTTTGGTATGCTGTCTTTGTGTTTTACTAAATGTCATTCCAAGTTTCCAACATCTACTTACTAATGTCTGAAACAGACCCCCCCCCCCCCCCCCCCAAATTGATTACAGAAAACGACTCACGAATCAACTAACATTCAACTGATAAAGTATCTGAAATTCTGAACCAAACTCCATAAATAAATTGATCTAAAAAGAATGACTTAGTAATCAACAGATCGTGTCGACGTTAGAAAAAGATTCTGATGGATATAGCCAGTTCGTCACTACTAATACTTCTATAGTGAATAAATAAATGATTCATTGTAGTAAAAACTAAAAAGAAAAGCTTAAGAAAATGAATTATAATACTACCACTAATAATAACAACAACAATAATACCACTACTTATTAGCTGTACAAAGGGCATCATCATAGCCATTGAAGCTGTTCAAGAAGGCGGGAAGACTGGCATTATTCTACTCTTCATCTGCACTTTTCATCCTAAAGCCTTCTTCGACCCAAACGCGGGGATCACCCCGGCTAAGTTCTCCCCTATACTGTAAATGGTAGTAGCTCAATACAGTTATTTCATATTTACCAAAGAACAAGGAGAAATCTATTGGAATAGTTGACATTTTAGATTTTTAACAGAGAGGGTTCGGTTTGAAGAACCTACATCAGATGTCTAGAATTGGTTGAAATTGATGGATTAGAAGGAGATAGGTTTGATTGGTCTTGTGGTACACCTGACTCTGGAGAATCATGAAAGCTTGAGGATCCATTTCCTGAGGACATCCCTGCAAAATATATATGTAAACTTATAAGCATTTTTATACTTCAAATTTAAAATAAGATATTGAGGTAAAGTGGTCTATCGACATCACCACTTCCAGACAACAATGAATAAACATCTAGCATTTTTCAAGGAAAAGGAAATTAATTTCTAATGAATAAACTGCTAGGGAAAAGGAAAGAAAATGTCAAGGGAAATTATTTTCTAATGGTCAGTTTTACCTCGGAAAATGCAATGGAAAAATAAATATGAATAAAGCTTCAAACTTTTTTACATTTTTTAACCGAATCTGAACTAAGAATAAACAATAATTTATCGAGTGTTAACCTAAAATTTATTTTCTTCAAAATTTTCTTTCTTCATGAGTTTCTTCTGTATTTTATTTCCAGCATCTTCTGAGTTCCAAACAGATCATAAATAGAACAACCTCATGGAAAGTAAATGCAAATTTCCGAGTTCCCTCTTTTGGATGAAGATACAAAATTTCCAGGTAAACAAATGATGATGGATATGTTACAGATTTCTCAAACAGAGTTTTCCTTAGGTTGAGAACCCTCTAAGGCTCTGTTTTCAGACTTTCCTGTCCTGCACATGAAACCTGTTTCAAGCACACCAAAAATATCTACCTAAAAGGAATATTTTTCCTTATGTTTCTTTACTTTTGTGAAAGTGCAGATCACTTCCCCTTTTGAAAAAAAGTAGTATTTGAGTTGTATGGTTTTTTTGGTCAAAGAGACAACCTTTATATTCTACCTCAAAACAACTTATTTTTCAAAGATTTTTTTCTATGAAAAATCAATTCCTCAGAGAGCATTTTACTAGAAAGATAAGTAGTATGGAGCATATGTTATTTTCCTGGAAACAAGCGGAGTCTAGGTAAGAATTCAACCAGAGATTTTATGAACCTACAGATGTAACACCAATAAGTATGCATATCCATCTTAAGGAAAAGGTGAATGAGTGGTACTAGAAAAAACAAGAAAAACATAACAACATTATTAATTTTGTAGCTCAAAAGATTGTTCAAGGTACAAAATTGAAAAAACTAGTCCAAATTAAGAAACAAGAGAGCTGGTTGAGGGTCCTCACCTTGGAAGATTAGCACCATGAAGAACACAACGGTGAAAAACATAGCGAAGAAACTCCCACTAAATGCTGATGAAACGGACGATGCCTTTACAGCTTTCAGTTTCTTCAAGGCCTTCATGCGGTCAATCCTTGCACGTTTGATCAACGCAAGTTCGTGTATTTCTTTGATCAGCTTTTGGTCAGCAGCATCTAATGACAACCCTCTTGGAGGTCTAGGGGGTTTGGGAGGCTTCTTGGCACTTATGGACTTTCTTTTCTCTTTCTCTACTTTCTTTTCCATTGTATTCTCTAACATTGTCCCTTCAATCTTTCCAGGAGGCAAAACCTCCCCCTCATTTTCACATTTGTATGAACTACCTACTCCAGTTGTAGTCCCATCAGTCTCAATATCAACCACACATTCTCTTTCCGTACAACTCATATCACAACTTTGAGCTTCAGGCCAACCACAATCTCATAAAATATTTGGTCTCGATCCCAAAATGGTGCTTTGCTACTTCTGATTACAAAGCATTTAAATTAAAAAACATTGTTAACTTCCAAAATTTCCCAAAAAATGAGTACATGATGCACCCCACCCGAGCACAGGAGTGCTCTTTCTATATGTAAAGCTCTCACTCACATTAGGCACAAAAGATTAAAATATCAAACAGAATTTACTAAAACATGGGTCATGTGCGTAAAAAGGAGTGCTCTTTCTATATGTAAAAGAAGAATGGATATAGTTCAAAATTCTGGTTTTAGGTGTAAAAGAAGTACAAGATATCCCATGTTTGAAGGCATGGTTATACTTAGTCCTAATTCATGGAATTCTCTCAATGTTAAACTGCCCAAATTTCAATAATAGAAAAAGCAGTTAAATGTTCATGAACTAAAGCAATCACTTTCCTCACATTTGACACAAAAGATTCAAACTTCATGGCTCTGTAAATGGTTACCAACAGACAGCAATCTTGAACTTACAAAGCAAAATAATCAAAACTGATAAAACCCAAGGAACAAATGAAGCAATAAATTGCTGAACCATCTCAAATGATATCTCACGAGTGTTAAACAAGCAGAAAGTTATACAGATTCAACTAATTTTGAAATTCTGATTTACTTACACAGATAAAGAAAGGAAGCCCGGAAATGGACAGATCCGAATGAGAGGGATTGGGTAGAAGTGAGATCCCGAACTGAAATATCCAACGGTTCGATACTTCGGTTAAAGATCACAGCTTTGAGCACCCAGAATTATAAAGAAGGCGTGAGAGATAAGGATAACCGACGCGGTGGGTGAGGGGGTGTGGGTCCTCCTCCAGTCTGGGAACACCAGAAACTGCTGTAAGTTTTTTTTGTTGGTTTAATGCTATTTTCAGCACCTTGCATTTATATTTGGGAAGGAGAAGAAGGCGAAGAAGATGCTTTTGCATATGCTGTACTGCCACCGACAGTCGCTCCCAAACCCCGTCGTGGAAGAAATGTAGGCCCCTCTAACTCTCTAAGCTCAGTCGTGAATTAGTGGTCGGTAGAATTATGCACAGTGTTCTTAGAAGCTCTGGAATATTTAGGGGGCGTTTAATATTTTTGTTTTTCAAAAAATTCGAAAATCGAAACAAACAAAGATATTCGGCTGACCTTGTTCAAATTTAGTTTTGGTTTAGGTGGTGGCTATATTAGCTCATTTTGTTGATTTATTAAAAAATTAAATTTAAAATATATTTCATTAATAAAATAAAGAAAAAATATATATAAATAGTTAAAATGGTTCCAGTAACTTCAGCCGAAACAGTCAGAAAAGTAACTACAACCTTACTTATAAGCCAAATAACAGTATTACCGAACAGACACAAAATTGAACAGTATTATATAAAAAAATGAGATTTATCTATATTTTTTTCTTAAGTTGAAGAAGTGCATCAAGCATTTTAATGCTCTCAATGTGTGTCCAGATTTGAAAGAAGAAACACCAATTGGAGAACAAATAATAGAAAAAATTGAAAAGAAATAAGTAAAGAATCTCTAGATTTTATGTTTTAATTTTTGTTAACCCATCCCAGCTTTGTAAGATCGCACTAAAAAGTAAAAACACACTTGGTGTATGTTGCAGTAGGGCGGTTAACGAACCGAGCTTTTATCGAACTATTTGAGTTCGAGCTCGGTTTCGAACCTAACGAGCCGAGCTTAACGAGCTTCCGAACCGAACCCGAGCTACGTTTTAAGTTCGAGAAATTAATCGAGCCGAGCTCGAATATAGTAGTATTCGGCTCGGTTCGAACTCGAGCCTATCGAACACCCTGGAATTATAAATATTATTTATATATAATTAATAAAAATTTAAATATAATTAGTATGATTTTATGAATTTAAATATGATTATTAACGAACCGAATTCTTGTTGAATCATTCGAGCACGAGCCTATTGACGAGCATCACCTAAAATTTTAAATTCGACCATATTTATCGAGCTTAACGAGCGCTCGGTTCGAACATCGAACACCTATCGAGCCGAACACGGGCCGCCTTTGTAAAGCTCGCCAAGCTTCGAGCTCAAACCCGAACACCATTAATTCCTTATCGAGCCGAACTCGAGCTTTAGGTGTTCGGGCTCGGCTCGGCTCGTTAACAGCCCTATGTTGCAGTATGTTCTACTCCCTCCGTCCCATTTATATTGTCCCGTTTTACCTTTTCAGGAAGTCTCACTTAAATGGTCTCATGTCATATTTGGCAAAGTTTGTGTGACTTTAAATCATTCTTACTTTATTCTTACTTTATCAATTAATATCAATCACACAAACCCACTTTTCTTAATAATTGTGTCACCCTCTTTCGTCCCAATATAAATGGGACGGAGGCAATGTTCTAAAAGGCGTAAGGCGTGTCGAGGCGGCACACCAAAGCCTTAAGCCTTTAAAGTCTAGGCGGGTGTAGGCGAGGTGTAGGCGTGAAAAGGCGTTTCAGTATTTTTCCCTTTATTTTAGTTTTTCTAGAATTATTTTAAAAGGTTTTTACTAAAATATTACTACTAAAGTATATATCGACAAAAATGTAACTATAGGCTACCACAAGTAAGTTTTATAGTCACTATGATATAACATATGAATAACATCATAGTTACTAAAGTTATCAATGTCACATTTTTATCTATTATATATATATTTTGGTTACATATTTGAAATTATTTCTATTTTTAAATATATGAATTTAATATGGAGTACGAAGCAATACTTCTTTTTCCCATTATCTTGCCAAATTTTTTCCTTTTATTATGTCTCATTAAATTAGTTTCATAACATATTTGGTGATAAAATAGTTATGATAAAATAACATAATGACGATTACACAAATGATGATGATGGTAATAATATAATAACAATTTTAATAATATTACGATAATAATAATACTAACACTAATAAATTAATAATTATAATAAATAAACAAGTGATTGTTTACTTGTTTAGCATCATTAGAATAAGAATAATAATAATAATTTTAATAATACTACATAAATGAAAACAATTGGGTGTGAGACAAATTGGAACCGTGGGCCATAGCTATAGTACGAAGTCAACTTAGCTGCTTTGAAAACTTTGGAAACCTTTTCTAATGCTTCGTATTTGAAATTGTTCGTTATTCTTACTCGGGAGTTTTTCCCACACCGGTGGAACGAGAAGAATACCTCTTTACGGAGCGTTATAAATTAGACTCCGCTGCCATCCCCGATTGCAAGCCTTATTCGTTTGAAATGGCTGTTGGCATGCTAAATTAGGTGTTTCGAATAAATCGGAACGCCTTAAGCCAGGCCTAGCGGGTATGCGCGGCGTTTGGGTGGCGCCTCACGCCTACTCCCGCCTTGTCGCCGCCTTTTGAAGTGTTTTAGAACACTGGACGGAGGTAGTATGTTGCATTGTTGCAACACTAGTGTAATTTGTTAAGAGTTTAAAATGTTAGGAAATTTACATACCGTATGTATTATTAAAACTCGTGCAATTCTCATAATATGACTAGTCATATTAGGGATACATTAAATAAATAAATCATATAAATATAAAGGAAATATAATGATTAAAAAGATCTAATAAAAAAATGTTGTAGTCAGAAAATAAATAAGGGAGAAATACATCCTTTATTTTTCTTATTCTTCATACCATTTGTTATCTATTAAGTTTTTCATCACGATGGGTAAAGATATTCTGCCCCGTCTTACTAACATTGGGACATGAAGAGATGATACAATTATTAAGAAAAATGACTTTAAATGATTGATATTGAATTAGTAAAGTATGAATAAAGTAAGAATGATTTAGAGTTGCAAATTTTACCAAATTTGATTTGAAATAATCTTAGTGGCAGTTCATTTTTAAATGCCTTTGAAGGGCATCTGGCATTCCATTTTTAAATGAATTTGTGTGTTACATTATTATTAACAAGTCAACCAGAGTTGGGAGAGCTAAAATTTCATAAATGCAAATAAAAAATTACAATCTAAAAGAAGGATAAAATGGTCAATTAAGTACATGAAGTAGTGCCCAGTGGAGTAAAGAGTACACCATTTTGAAAATCAGTTAAAACGGTACATCTTTTGACTGTTTTAGTGTTGAACAAGTACTTAGGGTACACACCAGCGTTATTTTTGGTGATGTGGCTAACGGAATACTGAGTTGAAAAAAAAAATGTCACCTCATCTGTTAACTGAGCCATTACGCTATACAAACCCTAATTAACCATGATCGTTGTTGCCCTAACCATTAGGCCAACACTTACAGAAAATCAGCGTTGAGCATGGATTGCGAAGCTTAGAGAGGTGAAGGGGGAAGGAGGAATTGAACCATTAGCCATGGAAAACACGAATCAAAGGTATGCATACGTTGCTTGCCTATGTGTAATGTATATCGTTGTATGTAAATTTATGTTTTGTAAGTATTGTATTACGTTTTTGACGTATTAGTTAGTTAGTGAATATACTTCCTCTGTCCCTTATAACTTTGCCAACTTTCCTTTTTTTTGTTGTCCCAAAAACTTTGTCACTTTCCCTTTTAATCAATCAATTTGTGGCTCCTGTTATTTCTCTCTCTCTTCTGCACAAATATCTACCACTCAATTTTTACCTTATTATTCTACGTGTCACTCAAACTTGGCATACCTTTAAGGGACGGAGGGCGTATAATGTTTATGCACTTATAAAATGGATTTTCTTTGTTATTGAATTTGGTATTTATGACTGTATGTGTAGTCCAACTACCCACACAGGCTCTGACAGTGGGGTGCAGGAGGCTGTTGTTGATATTGCATTTAAAGATCCACGTGTAGAGGCAGAAGCTGGTCTGCTTTTTGAAGAGGACTTCAATTCAGAACATGAAGATGATGAGGAATTGCTCCATGGGCGATTGCTGTTAAGAAAACTTGTCACAAAATAAAAGAGTGTTGGTAGATGAAAGGAAAAGGTAAATGAAGAAGGTACAAATGAGGATGCTGATGAAAATTACACTAATTATTTCAGTTCATGTGATGAAGGAAGTTACAAATCTGGGTCAGATGCAGAAGAAGAGGGGAGTTTGAGAACAAAGTCAAGATTTCCTAGTTTCAAACCACCTAACAAGGTGGAGTTCAGGTTGGGTATGAGTTTTGAGTCAAAGGTTGAAGCTAGAGATGTCATGGACAAGTATTCTATCAGTAATAGGTATCCATGATATTGGGTAAAGAATTGTGCTGACATGCTCAGGGCCAAATGTTCCAATTTAAACAAAGGTTGCACTTGGAATTGGTGTACATTGGCATAGACAATAGAAGCAGTAGTAAGAAGTGGGTTGTGAAGACATATGAGATTGATCATATGTGACACCGCACCCGAACGTCCTTGAAAATTCGATTTAAAAATTCAAAAGTGATGTATTGAATTTCCAATTTCAAAGCAATGGGAGAAACGATTAATATTTTACGAAGTACGCGATTGAATATTGTATTGTTCAAACCCGTATTCTTTTATAATTTTCATCATGTAAATTATTGGGATGATCCTACACATATTGGAGATCAATAATGTGATTTAGGAAGTTGACTTGTTCTAAATAAATTAGTATGAGTGCAAAAAGACATCTTTTGACAAAGATAAAACAATAGGACCCATTTCCCCCATTTTTGGAAGTATTGGTAGATAATTTGGACCCCAAATTAATTGGGATCAATTGGGAACCACTCCACATGATTATAGTACCTGCAAAACAAGAAAAATAAGTGAGGAGACTTACCTTGGCCGCACAAGCTGGAGGAGGGCTGCACAAGACTTGATTGGAATCAACCTTGAGACCCACCTTGTCTATTTCCGCACAAATCATGGGTGTGTTTTGTCTCCCTTCATTTTGAGAGTTGTACTCGTCCAAATGAGGTGTATAAGGTGTCCTTGGATAGCCTTTGAAGTGTAGTTTCATAATTGAGTGGCCTTTGTTCGAGTAGAGAGAGTAATCATCCAAAAATCGATCTGGAACGAGCAGTGGTCTGTGAACTCGAGCTGTGGGAGTGCTGAGACTGTTTGGTCGATATCTCGAGTTTTACGAATCCAATTAAGGCGTGTGAGATACCCACAGAAAGCTCTCAAGACGAGGAATCCGTGAAGGTCTGGTTTGCAGGAATCGGAGTTGTGGAAGGCTTCCAAATCGTCCGAGCAAAGCACAACCTCGCAGGAGAGGATTTGATCTTCTAAAAGTGAGTTTTAGCCCCAAAACTTTACTTTTCATTTTCCAAATGATATGAACGATTGGTGGGACTATCATACACTAATCCAAGTGTATAATATGTCCTTATAAAGTTATTTTATTGATGTAAAGGTTAGATACTAACCTAGAACAAATCTTGGAAAAACTAGGAAACGAGTTGACCGGGAAACACCCGTTCTAGGGGCTGTTTTCGTATCAACGATTAAGGGTTGAACTAGCACTTTGAGGAGGCTGTTTAACACTCATATTTGAGCAAGGAATCAGTTCCAAATCCACCTTGACCAAAGCTTTGACCATTGGACCAAGAAGGGAAAGTTTAAAGCTCAATTGAGGTGAGGATTGACATCTAATTGCTTACAACTTGTAGGTTAAGCATGAGATTACCTAAATGCTTAAATCATGATTTTTCATGGATTATGATGATTATATATTGATGAAATATTGATATAGTTGCCAAGGAATGAAATTTGAAATGATTTGAGAAGGTATGGATAATATGAGATTAAATGAGTATAAATGAACTATTTTGTGAAAATGGGCATTTTGCTCATGTATGAATTATGTGGATACATAAATAAATATTTGTGTATTGAGATTGAATACTTAAGTTGCTGCTACATGATTATAAATATGTAGAGAATTACAAATAATGAGGATAATGGTATGATAACAATAATCTTAATAGTATTGAAATACTAGTTAGTGATTATTGGAACTTGTTGATTAAATTGATCCTAGGGATTGGATTGTATGAAAGGTACTTGAATATAGTTCAAGTGTATATAATAACTTAGTTTGGAACTAAGGTTAAGTTATGGGAAGTCTTTAAGGATGACCCAAAGTAGTTTAATGATATGTCAATTCTAGGCATAGGGTTGCTTGAGAATTGGACCTTAATGCATGGTGATGTAATAGAGCCGAGCTCTAGAATGCATGTAAGGTGTAGACTTGGAGTCTATGTATTGTATAGCTAGAGCCGAGCTCTAGGACTTGCGTGGTGATGTAATAGAGCCGAGCTCTAGAACGCAAGGTAAGGAAATTGACCCGAGGTATATGAATTGTATGGTGATGTAGTAGAGCCGAGCTCTAGAATACAATGTCATGTACTAGGGTTGGACTCTAGGAGTTGTCGTGGCTTATAGCCACGGGGTTGGGAATGGTGATTTCCAAATGAAAACGGGCCCACGGGCCGACTACTTGACTTTTATATAAAGTAAGTATATTTTTAAACGGGGTAACTTAGGGTTACAATCATAATGTACTATCACCCTATTTGAGGGCCTTGTGTTTGAAATACTTGTTGTATATCTATTAGATGCCTGCCACACCAGTACTTTATAGCCGTATAGAGTACTGACCCCTTCGGGGGCGTCCCACCACCATTTCAGGTTGAGGCTAGAGCTTGCATCCTGTGCTCGTTGATCGAGTGATTCCTCGGAGAGAAGACTTGGTTCGTGCTTCCTCCATTCTATTGAAACATTAATAAATTTGCTCATGGATATTTTATTATAGAGCCTGCGTGCTCATGAATAGCCCTGTGTGGCCCTTTCGTTTTAAACAATGTTTTCCGCTGCTTTATGAATTACTTATTATGTTGTTTATGGATGACTTATGTGTGAATGATATTCATGACGCCTTGTATAATATGAATGTGTTGGATTGCGATTGACTATTCGTATTGTACGGCGGGTTGTTGACGTGTCCGGGGAGGTCCGGGGCGTGACAATTAAGTTGGTATCAGAGCCTTAGTCCATAAACTTCATAATGAAGTCTCAAAATTCTCTTTTTGAAAAGATTTTGAAAACCATGAGCATAGAAGTTTTGTACTTGGAGAGCTTTTGGTACTTGGGTTGCAAGGTCTCTAATTGTTAAGATGGTACCCTTAGCAATTGGTATGGCGGTGACTCGAGCCAAAATGTGTCTTAAGTACCTATCCGTCAATTGACATTTGATACGAGTCTAACGACTCCTTCCAAATTTCTTTCAGAAATGGACCGTGGTGGCAGGATTACTAGGAGAAACCCGACTGGCCGTGTACCAGTGGAGACTGGACAGGGCAGTCGAAGGACCTCTAGGGCATCTAGAGGAGCTGGCCGTGGAGGCCGATCACAGACCGTGAGTGACGGTCATGTCGACACGGAAAGTGAAACCTACTGGTCCTATGAGGACTCGACCTATCGACCGGAAACTGAACCGGTTGAGACCCCTTATGAAGGGGATGATGATGATGTAAGTGATGAGGAGGAAAATGGCTCCTTAGCACGGATTGAAGCACTACTTCAACAGTACCACCGTGAGCGTGAGGAGAGGAGGGAACGCCGAAGGCGCCGGGCTGGGCAACCTTCGGGCGGGGCTTCAAGAGGGAGAAGCCATGGCGACTCTAGGGCCCACACTGAACCACATGGGGGTCGGGGTGATGGAGGTCCAATCATAAGGATCTCCAAATACATCAAAGAGGCACGAGACTTGGGGTGCAAACCGTTCGATGGGACGGGTGACATCTCCGTTTCGGCACAATGGATTAAGCGGCTGAATGAGGCAGCCCTGGACATGCAACTCACCCCCGAATATAAACTAAGGGTTGCGGTGAGATTGCTTGAAGGTATGGCATCCAAGTGGTGGGATGGGACCAAAGGCAAATATGGCGAGACTGTCACTTGGGAGGATTTCCGACAGGAATTCTTTGCCCAATATTACTCGGACTTTGAGGTGAACAAGAAAGTGAGGGAATACACCCTTCTAACCCAAGGGGGTAACATGACGGTGAGGGAACTTGAGTACAAGTTCAGGGATCTTGCCGATTACATACCTGAGTATGCTTGCGACGAGAACCGGATGGTGAACCACTTCTGGGATGCTCTAGACTTGGAGATACGTGACAGGGCAACACAATTGCCTAACATGACGTTTGCCCAAGTGGTTGACCAAGGGTTGAAAGGAGAGAAGCAATGGGAAGAAAGGAAGAAGAGAGACGCCGAGGAGGCGAAAAAGAGAAAGTGGGAGAGTCATGGCTCCCAAGGTTCCAACAAAAAGGGGAACCACGGGGGAGGATCTTTCCGGGCACCACCGCCACCATATAGGGGGAACCAAGGCCCGAGTGGGCAAGGCGCGAGGTCACAAACCTCAGTGGTAGCTCGTTGCAACAATTGCAAGAAGAACCACTCCGGTAAATGTCGCGACCCCCCTAGATGTTTTCAATGCGGGGATGCCGGGCATTTGAAGGCACATTGTCCACAATTGAGTGGGGCAAGGACATCGGGACCAAGTAGTGGCCCGACGGGTACGCGGAATCAACCCGGGGCTTCTCAAGCAAGCCGGGGACATGGGGGAGCAAGTGCGAGCAACGCGCCATCCGTGAACCAAGGGAGGACCCAGGCTAGGGTCTATGCGATGACGGAGGCGGATGCTCAAGCTAACCCGGACTCCGTTGCAGGTATTGCCTCTCATATACTAGTGTTTTATCCTTAATTAGTCCATAAATTGAGGATACTAATCGCTAGGATCATTGCACGAGGTTTTGGGGTCGAACCGGGGGATTTCGGGCAACTTCAGGCGGCTGGGACCCAGGCACGATCGTGCCTAAGGCAGACACGATCGTGCCTCCAAGTCAGTAGCTGCCCAGGAATAATCCCAGCCCAGGCACGATCGTGCCTAAGGCAGACACGATCGTGCCTACAAGGCAGTAGCTGCCCAGGGTTTTTCTCCAAACCAGGCACGATCGTGCCTAAGGCAGACACGATCGTGCCTCCAAGTCAGTGGTTCCCAGGATTTTTCCAACCCAGGCACGATCGTGCCTAAGGCAGACACGATCGTGCCTCCAAGGCAGTAGCCCCAGGGCGTTTTTCCTGAGCCAGGCACGATCGTGCCTACCCCGGGCACGCCGTGCCTGGCACCCAGATTGCCGAAACCCGGTTTTTTCGCATCGTTTTGCGACGTTAAGGCCTCTTCTTGATCCCTAACGTGCGTGTGAACATTGCAACCTTCTATAAATGAGTAGGGAGGGTAGGAAAGATGTCTTACATGGTTCATGAATGTAGGGACACTAAAGATTAACGGGAAGGATGCACGAATCCTTATCGATACCGGAGCGCAACGTTCATTCGTGAGTGAGGCGTTTGCCGAGAGCTTAGAGATGCAATCAATACCAATGACACAAACCTTAGTGGTATCAACCCCACTAGGGGAAGACGTTGAAAGAAACAATTACTATCCATCTTGTATGGTGGAAATCGGTGGCCAAACCTTGACGTGTGATTTCGTACCGCTGAGTATGATGGAGTTCGATGCAATCCTAGGGATGGATTGGCTAGAAAAGCATCATGCTAGGGTAGATTGCTACACAAAGGTGTTGGAACTCGAAGGCACACAGGGGGACACCCTGCGCTTCGAGGGGGACCGCGGCAAATCAAATAGTTGTATCATATCCGCCGTGAGAGCGAGAAATATGATGAGGAAGGGATGCCACGCATATCTAGCATTCGTGGTTGACAAAACCAAAGAGGAAACGAACATCGATGATGTGAGGGTGGTTTGTAAGTATCCGGATGTCTTCCCTAAAGACCTACCGGGGCTTCCACCTGACAGAGAGATTGAATTTGTGATCGAGGTCGAGCCTGGTACCAAACCAATCTCCATACCGCCATACCGGATGGCACCCGCTGAACTTAACGAGTTGAAAACCCAATTGCAAGAGCTTTTGGATAACGGTTTCATTAGACCAAGCCACTCCCCGTGGGGAGCACCGGTTCTTTTTGTGAAAAAGAAAGATGGGACACTTCGAATGTGCATTGACTATCGTCAACTGAACAAGGTCACAATCAAGAATAGGTATCCGTTGCCTAGGATTGATGACTTGTTTGATCAACTACGAGGAGCAACCGTGTTTTCAAAGATTGACTTAAGGTCGGGGTACCATCAATTGAAGATTAAGGAAGATGACATACCAAAGAGTGCTTTCCGCACAAGGTATGGGCATTTTGAGTTCCTTGTTATGTCGTTTGGATTAACAAACGCCCCGGCGGCATTCATGGACTTGATGAACCGAGTATTTCATAAATACTTGGATCGATTCGTGATTGTGTTCATAGATGACATCTTGATTTACTCAAAGAGTGAAGAAGAGCATGAGGAGCACTTGATACTTGTTCTTGAAACGCTACGGGAGAAGCAACTCTATGCCAAATTTTCTAAATGTGAATTTTGGCTAAAGGAGATTGGCTTCCTCGGGCACGTGGTTTCGGGATCGGGGATTGCTGTTGATAACAAGAAGATAGAAGCCATTACTGAATGGGAGAGGCCAAAGAACGTCAAGGAAATTCGTAGTTTCCTTGGATTGGCAGGCTACTATAGAAAGTTCGTGGAGAAGTTCTCTGTTTTGGCATCGCCATTGACGAAGCTCACTCGTAAAGGAGCTAAGTTTGTATGGGATGACAAATGTGAGAAAGGGTTCATGGAACTAAAGAAGAGATTGACCGAGGCACCGGTACTTGCATTACCCAAACAGGGTGTGAGGTACGATGTCTATAGCGATGCGAGCATCCAAGGGCTCGGATGTGTACTGATGCAGAATGGGAGGGTAATCGCCTATGCTTCACGACAATTGAAGAAGCATGAGGTGAATTATCCTACTCATGATTTGGAGCTCGGGGCAGTGGTATTTGCACTGAAGATATGGAGACATTATCTCTACGGGGAGACATGTCACATATACACCGATCACAAGAGCTTGAAGTACGTGTTTACTCAGAAAGAGCTAAACATGAGACAGAGACGGTGGATGGAGCTGATAAAAGACTACCATCTAGTGATAGAGTATCACCCAGGCAAGGCAAACGTGGTGGCAGATGCTTTGAGCCGGAAGAGCTCGTCTGGGGCATTGATAACTAATTTGAGGGCATTAAGAGCCCAACTGGAGGTAACCAGCGATGGTGCCTTATTGGCACGATTTGAGGTAAGACCCACTTTACTTGATGAGATCAAGAAGGGTCAGGAAGCCGACGAAGAACTTATGAAGGTCCGGGAACGCATGCAAGCGGGGCCGGTGGAGGATTTCAGGGAAAGAGATGATGGTCTCTTGTTATTTCGTGACCGAGTGTGTGTACCGTCAGATGATGAGCTCCGAAAGTCCATCTTAGAGGAGGCTCATTCATCGGCTTATGCCATGCACCCGGGGGGCACGAAAATGTACCGTGATTTGAAGGAAAGTTACTGGTGGTCTGGAATGAAGAGGGAAATAGCCGAGTACATCAGTCGGTGCCTTACTTGTCAACAAGTTAAGGCAGAACATCAGCACCCAGCAGGCTTATTGCAACCACTCTCCATCCCTGAATGGAAGTGGGAGCACGTGACTATGGATTTCGTGGTAGGCTTACCACGGACTATCAGGAACTATGACGCGGTTTGGGTCGTTGTGGATAGGCTCACAAAGAGTGCACACTTCTTGCCTATCAACACTACCTATCCACTTGAGAGGTTAGCCAAATTGTATACGGATGAGATCGTGAGGCTGCATGGGGTCCCGGTGACCATTGTATCTGATAGAGACCCACGATTCACATCACGTTTTTGGCCGAAATTCCAGGAGTCTATGGGAACGAAGTTGAAGTTCAGCACTGCTTTCCATCCACAGACGGATGGGCAGTCTGAAAGGGTTATACAGATCCTAGAAGACATGCTGAGGGCTTGTGCATTGGAGTTCCAGGGGAGTTGGGACACCCACTTAGCACTTGTGGAGTTTGCCTATAACAACAGTTATCAGGCAAGCATCGGCATGCCTCCATACGAGGCATTGTATGGGAGGAGGTGCCGTACACCGTTATGCTGGGACGAGGTTGGCATGGCCAAACTCGAGGGTACTGAGTTGGTGGAGGTCACCAAATCAAAGGTGAAGTTAATTCGAGAGAGACTCAAGGCGGCTCAGGATAGACAAAAGAGTTATGCAGATAAGCGTCGAAGAACCTTAGAGTTTAAGGTTGATGACGAGGTATTCTTGAAAGTTTCTCCTTGGAAAGGGATCATTCGGTTCCAAACCCGAGGAAAACTTAACCCACGATATATAGGTCCATTCAGAATTATAGAGAGGATTGGGGCCGTTGCATATCGTCTACAATTGACTCCTGAGTTAGAGAAGATACATAATGTGTTTCATGTATCCATGCTTAAGAAGTACGTGCATGATCCCTCTCACGTATTGGAGAAGCCACCTGTAGAGGTACGTGAGGATTTGAACTACGCTGTTCAACCTATCAAAGTCACCGATAGAAAGGTGAAGAAGCTGAGGAGCAAAGAAGTCCCAATGGTTAAAGTCCTGTGGAAGAGCGATCGGGTCGAGGAAGAGACATGGGAAACGGAGGCTTTGATGAGGAAGCAGTATGCTTTCCTATTCGAGTAGAGCTGTGAATTTCGGGGACGAAATTCCTGTTAAGGGGGGGTGAACTTGTGACACCGCACCCGAACGTCCTTGAAAATTCGATTTAAAAATTCAAAAGTGATGTATTGAATTTCCGATTTCAAAGCAATGGGAGAAACGATTAATATTTTACGAAGTACGCGATTGAATATTGTATTGTTCAAACCCGTATTCTTTTATAATTTTCATCATGTAAATTATTGGGATGATCCTACACATATTGGAGATCAATAATGTGATTTAGGAAGTTGACTTGTTCTAAATAAATTAGGATGAGTGCAAAAAGACATCTTTTGACAAAGATAAAACAATAGGACCCATTTCCCCCATTTTTGGAAGTATTGGTAGATAATTTGGACCCCAAATTAATTGGGATCAATTGGGAACCACTCCACATGATTATAGTACCTGCAAAACAAGAAAAATAAGTGAGGAGACTTACCTTGGCCGCACAAGCTGGAGGAGGGCTGCACAAGACTTGATTGGAATCAACCTTGAGACCCACCTTGTCTATTTCCGCACAAATCATGGGTGTGTTTTGTCTCCCTTCATTTTGAGAGTTGTACTCGTCCAAATGAGGTGTATAAGGTGTCCTTGGATAGCCTTTGAAGTGTAGTTTCATAATTGAGTGGCCTTTGTTCGAGTAGAGAGAGTAATCATCCAAAAATCGATCTGGAACGAGCAGTGGTCTGTGAACTCGAGCTGTGGGAGTGCTGAGACTGTTTGGTCGATATCTCGAGTTTTACGAATCCAATTAAGGCGTGTGAGATACCCACAGAAAGCTCTCAAGACGAGGAATCCGTGAAGGTCTGGTTTGCAGGAATCGGAGTTGTGGAAGGCTTCCAAATCGTCCGAGCAAAGCACAACCTCGCAGGAGAGGATTTGATCTTCTAAAAGTGAGTTTTAGCCCCAAAACTTTACTTTTCATTTTCCAAATGATATGAACGATTGGTGGGACTATCATACACTAATCCAAGTGTATAATATGTCCTTATAAAGTTATTTTATTGATGTAAAGGTTAGATACTAACCTAGAACAAATCTTGGAAAAACTAGGAAACGAGTTGACCGGGAAACACCCGTTCTAGGGGCTGTTTTCGTATCAACGATTAAGGGTTGAACTAGCACTTTGAGGAGGCTGTTTAACACTCATATTTGAGCAAGGAATCAGTTCCAAATCCACCTTGACCAAAGCTTTGACCATTGGACCAAGAAGGGAAAGTTTAAAGCTCAATTGAGGTGAGGATTGACATCTAATTGCTTACAACTTGTAGGTTAAGCATGAGATTACCTAAATGCTTAAATCATGATTTTTCATGGATTATGATGATTATATATTGATGAAATATTGATATAGTTGCCAAGGAATGAAATTTGAAATGATTTGAGAAGGTATGGATAATATGAGATTAAATGAGTATAAATGAACTATTTTGTGAAAATGGGCATTTTGCTCATGTATGAATTATGTGGATACATAAATAAATATTTGTGTATTGAGATTGAATACTTAAGTTGCTGCTACATGATTATAAATATGTAGAGAATTACAAATAATGAGGATAATGGTATGATAACAATAATCTTAATAGTATTGAAATACTAGTTAGTGATTATTGGAACTTGTTGATTAAATTGATCCTAGGGATTGGATTGTATGAAAGGTACTTGAATATAGTTCAAGTGTATATAATAACTTAGTTTGGAACTAAGGTTAAGTTATGGGAAGTCTTTAAGGATGACCCAAAGTAGTTTAATGATATGTCAATTCTAGGCATAGGGTTGCTTGAGAATTGGACCTTAATGCATGGTGATGTAATAGAGCCGAGCTCTAGAATGCATGTAAGGTGTAGACTTGGAGTCTATGTATTGTATAGCTAGAGCCGAGCTCTAGGACTTGCGTGGTGATGTAATAGAGCCGAGCTCTAGAACGCAAGGTAAGGAAATTGACCCGAGGTATATGAATTGTATGGTGATGTAGTAGAGCCGAGCTCTAGAATACAATGTCATGTACTAGGGTTGGACTCTAGGAGTTGTCGTGGCTTATAGCCACGGGGTTGGGAATGGTGATTTCCAAATGAAAACGGGCCCACGGGCCGACTACTTGACTTTTATATAAAGTAAGTATATTTTTAAACGGGGTAACTTAGGGTTACAATCATAATGTACTATCACCCTATTTGAGGGCCTTGTGTTTGAAATACTTGTTGTATATCTATTAGATGCCTGCCACACCAGTACTTTATAGCCGTATAGAGTACTGACCCCTTCGGGGGCGTCCCACCACCATTTCAGGTTGAGGCTAGAGCTTGCATCCTGTGCTCGTTGATCGAGTGATTCCTCGGAGAGAAGACTTGGTTCGTGCTTCCTCCATTCTATTGAAACATTAATAAATTTGCTCATGGATATTTTATTATAGAGCCTGCGTGCTCATGAATAGCCCTGTGTGGCCCTTTCGTTTTAAACAATGTTTTCCGCTGCTTTATGAATTACTTATTATGTTGTTTATGGATGACTTATGTGTGAATGATATTCATGACGCCTTGTATAATATGAATGTGTTGGATTGCGATTGACTATTCGTATTGTACGGCGGGTTGTTGACGTGTCCGGGGAGGTCCGGGGCGTGACATCATACATGCAACCCGGGCTGACAAATACCTAGTGCAACTGCTTCTTGGTTAGTGAAGAATTTTTTCAAGTCCAAGGCTTGAGTGGCTGATATGAAGGTGGCTTCCATGAGGGAAATGGTGAAGAAAGAATTGAAATGTGATGTAAGTCTTGAACAAAAGAGAAAGACTAAGACAATGATGAAAGCTAAAAAAGGGAGATGAGGAAGAGTACAGGAACTTGGAGGATTATAAGGAAGAAATACTTAGGTCCAATCAGCGTATAGTAATACTTGCATCCTAAATCTAAGGCATTCTAGCCCAGTATTTGATAGATTTTAGGTGTGCTTTCATGCATGTAAAAAGGATTCCTTGAAGGGTGTAGAAGACTGATAGGTATAGATGGGGCATTTCTGAAAACTGAGTGAAGGGTGAAATTCTAACAACGGTAGGAAGAGATGCAAACAACCAAATGTTCCCAATTGCATGGGCAGCTGTACCTTCTGAGACTAAAGCCACCTGGAAGTGGTTTATAGAGTACCTCAGAGAAGACTTGAATATTGGAAGGGGTAAAGATTGGACTTTTGTTTTGGATCGACAAAAGGTCATACCCACTTTCATTTGTGCTATAGTTTGCTTAATATCTACCTCAAATTGACTTATGATAAAAGTAAATAGTATCATATGTTAACATATTTTAAGTTGTATATTATCTGTGTGCATTACATAGTATGATATTTCATGATTACATAATCTTTGATGTTTAAATCCCAATATAGTATGATATGTTAAAACACTTTCCTAGCTTTGACATTTTCATTTCATAGTATCATGATTTCATACCAATATGTTTATAAATTATCACAGTATGTAGTATTACATTGTACTATATATACTATTATATATCGCAGTATTATATTTCATACCAATATGTTTATAAACTATCTTAAGACACAGTATCATGATTTCATACCAATATGTTTTTTGACTATCACAATCTTCCATTTTCATTTCATAGTCTGACATTATATTACTTATACTATTATATATCCCAACATTATATTACAATATATAGTATCCTAGAATGCATAATCACTCACACTTTCATATTTTCAGGGGTTGATGCCAGCTTTATATGAGACCTTACTTGATGTTAAACACAGAAGATGTGCCAGGCACATTTATGCAATTTGGAGAAGAAGTCATGGTGGGTTGGAGTTGCAAAGGCAATTCTGGAAGTGCTGCAAATCAGCCTCAAAGAAGGAATTTGAACTCAATCTAGAGGTACTTAAATCTCTTTCTCCAAGTGCTCATAATGATATGGTGAAAATAGATCTCAAGTTTTGGTGTAGAGCCTTTTTCAATAGGAGTGTCAAGTGTGAAACAGTGGATAACAATCTATGTGAGGCTTTTAATGGTGTTATAGTACCTGCTAGATCTCTGTTTGGTTTTTCTCAATTGGAATACATAAAAAAAATTAGTGATGCAGGGGCTATTAAAGAATAGGAACCTGGGTGACAAGTGGGTAGGTGACTTAGGTCCCAGGATTAGGAGGAGGATAAAAAAATGTATTGAATATCTATCTATTCAATGGTTCTGATAGATATGGGGTTTCTTGTGAATCAGACACTTATTTGGTAGATTTGGACAATAGGAGTTGTTTATGTGAGCAGTGGGATGTTTTTGAGATTCCATGCAAACATGCCATTTGTGCCATAAGAGATAAAGGACATAGAATTGAGGGTTATGTATCCGATCCCTATGGTATAACAAGGACATGTATTGCCATACATATGCTGAAATGATGACCCCTATTCCTAGACCTTTATTTTGGCCTAAAACAAATGTTAAAGTCCTCCCCGCAAAGTTGAAGAAAAAAGAATTGGGTAGGCCTAGGAAGAATAGAATTAGGGAGATTGGTGAGATTCTTATGAGTGTCAAGTTAACAAAGAGAGGAACTACCATTACATGT